TCAAGCCCTGTGGTCCAGAAGATGGAAAAGCCAACAACAGCTTTCTTCAGAGCATAAACTACTTCCTCAACAAAGCTTTCTTGTGAAGTTGCATATTTGAGCTGAGTCTGTTGTTTCTCCTGTTTCCACTCAACTTTGTTTATTCTCTGCATCTTCACCCTTTAACTGCCCAGCCCAGCCTGTAATTGACACACAGTTGAGTTCAAGTGTTTGCATGGCCTTAGGTTTGCTTTAGCTTTCATTTAGTCGGATAGAAAGATGAATTATAGCTATTCTGAGAAGGATATTTGCTTCATAAACTTCAACACACTTTAAGGTGGTTTATAGCAATGTAAACAGTCCAGACTTCCTGCTTATAAGCAACATCCATGTAGATGTGATGTGGCCATACTGACAAGCTCCTCCAAGCATAGACTTGACCTTTAAAATATGGGAGGGTTTTCTTCCAGCTAGTGCAGACTCAGCCAGGGAGGTGTTATCTCCCTGGGCCATACAGACAGCAGTAGAACAGTCATTTCCTGTGCGCATACAACATACCACTTAGTCTCAGTGTGTAATGTCTGAGTTTGCAAATAACCTCCAGAAGCTGTTGTCTGCAAGTTTCACTGATAGATTCACAGGAGATTGGAATTTATTTGAAATTCAGTGATGCACAGACATCTTGCTTGTTGCTTAGGTGCTGCAGTTCCCAGGGACACTACTGTCCTTTGCTTCTATTTGAAGCTTTTCTTTTATTGACACATCAAATTTAAAAACATTTCTTGTACAGAACAATGAAAACCGTTATCTGCAACAGCTTCACTACAGTTTTCAAGGATGTGTGTATATATATGTATAAAATGAAATGGGCTTCTTAGCTGTTTCTTATTTGGGGTTTACCCAGTGTAAAGATGGTTTCAAGGCTATTGTGCAGGCTAGGGCAAGTGATGTGATGGCATTTGCTCATCAAAGTGAGCATGAGGAGGTGCAGAGACTCAGCTGTCCTTGTAATCGTATAACTTAAGCCTTTGCACATCCCAACAACCCCTTCTCTTGAGTAGTGACAGGATGAAGGAGTTGAAGTGTTTGGCACGTTATAGGTATAAATTCCTCTGCGTGCAGAGCATCTGTGCAAGAGCTTGAGCTCTTTGGACCTCCAAAAGTCAGCTTTGGTTTTGGTCAGACCTTGTCAGAGTTTTATTTTACAGTTGCATTCTGCAGTTCAGAATAGCTGGTACCATATCAGGCACTTGGGGGGGGGAAGAAATTCAGACTAAGTGGCCAGCAAGCCATCCTTCCACTGCTCTACCTCAACCTCTCCTCCTCCCCAGGTGCAGCAAAGAGCACAGGAGTGTATCAAAGCTCTCAATCTCATTCTCAAAATCAATTCAGGAGAGGAAATAACAAATGTACTACATTCAGACTTTGACTGGAATAGCCTAAAGGTGAGTGAAAAGTGGCAACTGCATTTCATTAAACACTTAATAATGCTTCTGGTTTCCCCCTTCCATTTCTAATTGGTTCCTGTAAACTACTCTGAAGATCACACTGTAGACCTATGAACATATCTGCAGGTCATCCCAAGGTGGATAGATGGTAATGGAGATGAAATGATGCCCTTCCTACTTCAATGGGATCTATTAACTAAAAAAAATATTCCCTTTGAAAAAAAGGTTTGGGAAAGAAAATCTTTTACAGCACCTGGATTTTTTTGACAGGATTCTGTTGATACTAGCAGAATAGCTGTGATGGGACACTCTTTTGGTGGTGCTACAGTTATTGAGAGTCTCAGCAAAGAAATAAGATTCAGGTAAGTATGCAAAACAAGGCAAGAGACATTTGGCACTTGATAGGTCTCGAGCAGGGCACCTTACCTAGGATCCCCCAGCTACTAATTAGTTCCCAAAGAAAATTTTGTTAGGTGTGTCTTGCTTTCTCAAGTCATGGTTCTTCCAACTGTGGGGCTGTGGGGGAACATAAGAGCTGCTTCCTGTTACATCATGATACTGTGAGACCCTGCAGCCCAGGTGCACTTGGCAATGGAGGCCAACAAATGCAACAATGGATTAATTCTCTTCACCCAGAGTAGAAATAATTTGGAAACAAAATGGTTCATTAACCTGTTCAGTATCAGAGTTTCTCTTCCCCATATTTCCTGCAAATCAAAGCATGCTGAGAGCTTCCATTCAGAGCTTTCTGCTTCTGTGACAATATCCAGTTGTTTTGGCAGGTGTGGCATTGCCCTCGATGCGTGGATGCTTCCTGTAGGTGATGACATTTACGAAAACAGTGTCCAGCAGCCGCTGCTTTTTATCAACTCTGAAAAGTTCCAGTGGGTTGATAACATCTTAAAGATGAAGCAGCTCATCTCCAGTGACACAAACAAGAAAATGATCACTATCAAGTAAGTGTCCATAATGCATAATTTCTGTGGTTGAAGATTAATATTTCTTGCTGGAGCTGTGCAGTTACACATAACTGCGGAACGGTAAGACAGTCACTAGCACACAGGTCTGATGAGGAGAGGCTGAGGGAGCTGGGAGGCTCAGCCTGGAGAAAAGGAGGCTCAGAGGGGACCTTCTCACTCCGTACAACTCCCTGAAAGGAGGTTGCAGCCAGGTGGGGGTCAGGCTCTGCTCCCAGGTTACAAATAACAGGGCAAGAGGAAATGGCCTCAAGTTGCACCAGGGCAGGTTCAGATTCAATATTAGGGACAATTTCTGCATCGAGAGGGTGGTCAAGCAGTGGAACAGCTGCCCAGGGAAGTGGTTGAGTCATCATCCCTAGAGGGATTTAAAAGACATGCAGATGTGGCACTGAGACACGGTTAGTGATGGGCTTGGCAGTGTTAATGGTTGGATTTCATGATCTTAAAGGTCTTTTCCAACCTCAGTGATCCCATGATTCTATCCTTCCCTGGGGCCCAGGTTTTCACTCCATGTTTAAATTAGCCATACATTCCCCACAAAGGGAACAGAGACCTCTTAAAGCAGCCAGTTTAAACCCAAGTTTAAGATACTCCAAGGAGTCCATTCCTGCCCTGGGGCACAAGTTTTGCTCTGAGCCTCATGCAACACCTGTGTTTGAACACTAAATAGCCTCTTGGGGGCAGTTCTGCCCTCACCCAGTGAAAGCACTGTGGCCTGGGGAGTGGATGACTCTGTCCTGCACCACAAAGCAGAGAGACAACTCAATCTTGACATTTTGTCAAGGCAACTCTTTAGTACCACTGCAGTGACTGTGACTTACAGTGAGCTGGTACAAACCTTCCTCCCTTCTGAAATTAGGACAGAATTTCCTGCTAATCTTGCATGCTCGTGTGCTGAGCCTCATATCTTCTGCTAAAGAAGACAGCATAAGACATGTGACCAAAGTCTGCATCTTTTAATCAGATAACTTTCTTAGAAGCCTGTTGATCACTTTTCTCTTTGTAGGGGGTCAGTACATCAGAGCTTTCCTGACTTCACCTTTGTGAGTGGAGGAATCATAGCAAAATTTTTCAAATTAAAAGGAGAAATAGATCCAAATGAAGCTATTGATATCAGCAATCATGCTTCATTAGCCTTCCTGCAGAAACATCTGAGTAAGTACCTGTTTACTGCAAAGTATGAAGTCCCTTTTTAATTCCTGTGAAGCTTTTTATATAACTATTCAAGATCAAAAGTGTGTCAGTATAAAAAAACAGAGACTGTTTCTAGAGGTTTGTCAGTTACTTTTGTAATCTTAAGACACTCAGAGGAACATCACTGGTATTTTGTTCCGATTCATAAAAAAACCCTGTCTTTTTTTCAAAAAAACATCATGCCAAGTTGGTTTAATTTTTCAATGTAGTTTTACAAAAAGCTGATTAAATTCATTACCACTTGGGTTTTCTTTCCCCTATTTTATAGTGCTTAAGAAAGATTTTGACAAGTGGGATTCTCTTGTGGATGGCATAGGACCCAATGTTATTCCTGGAACCAATATTGACGTATCTCCAGCCGAACCTGAATAAAGAATACAGAGAAGGACTGAAAATGCCAGAGATCAGGACACTAATGTTGGCCAGATATTGTGGAGACATGTGATGGTATTAAACACCTACACTGCTTTTGGGGTGTGGAACAAACAAAAAACAAATAAACAAAAAACACACACAAAAAAAGAGGCATTAAGTTACATTATCATGAAAACAGAGGTTTTGGTTCAAATGAGTTCAACAGGGGAACTTCTGCTTTGTAAGCAGCTGGGGGGAAATCACTTGATGGTAATTTAAAGATTATTTCTAGTTTTGACTTAAGGAGCAAGTTTGCAGAGAGACAGATTAAAGCTTCAAGGAATTCAACTACAGTTCTGCTTACCAAGCTTTAAGTCAGTTTGTATCCAGCAAGCCTTTTTTTGCAGTGTAAGAAGAAAGGCTAAAACAAGAAAAAACACAAACCAACCACTTTGTTACTAAGCTACTTAGTATTTCAGCTGCAGTCTAACAACAGTTGGAGCTGGGGTAGGATTTTGCTTTTTCTAGTCAGAGAGGGGCTAGTGGAGGGTGGTCTTCAAACTGTCTTATTTTAATGTCACAGCAAAAAGCTACAGTTCTGATAACAGCATAGAAAGGTGTTTGTTCAGACACTGGACTTAATCCACTTAAATGTAAGATTTGTGTTTAGTGTCACACTTAGAGGAGGTTTTATTCCAAAAGCTGCTGAATTGGTCACTCTTGTCATAGCAACTAATTCCCTCTGGGCAAAGCTCCAAGCAGTTCTTCTCTTGTTAATGTCTGTGTTATCACTATCACAGTGTAAGACTGCAGGTGAAATTATAGAGATGTGTCACATGTACAACTCCCTTTACATGATCCTTGTTAGCACTGCTTGATCTTCTGAGGTCTCTCATGGCAGTAATACTCATCTTTGTCCAGGTACTCACATTGCTGCCTGTAATAGACAGTAGATGCAGTCAGCTCCTGCTGACAGATACAGACAGAAATGGTTGTACCTGGACAAAGACTGTCACCTGCCACTTGGTCATCCTTGTTTAAGGCTCTAATTCTTAGATCAGAACTCTACGAAGCTTCTCCACAGAAGGGTGTCTTCTAAATTCTGCTTGTTTCAAAATTTGGTTACAACCAAAACTGAAGCAAGCAGAACAAGCAAAGCAATTAACAGTGTAATTAAATATGGACTTGTCCTTCAGAATTTAAGTTTTCCCCAGCCTACTACTGTGTATTGTCTCTACTAAGCAAATAAATGTGTTTAAACATGCCTTACTGAGTCAGCACTAATACTTAAGATCTACCATGAGACCCACCTGGACTGACACTATCAGCCAGCTTGGGTTCCTAAGTCCTTCTGGCAGCATGAAAAATCCAGTCTCTGAGGAGGAGGAAGCAGCTATGCCATACAGGAGGAGTGTGGAATAGCACTATAAAATAGAAACCCCTTTTCAGAACCTGAGGAGAATAAAAGGCAAGATACCTGTCACATAGCTGCAGGTTAAATCCTTACCATGCTGTACACATGTATCTGCAAAACCAGTCTGCAGCAAAACTGCAGGATGCCATCCACACATCATTTGGGCTTATGCAAACACAAGTCATTAACAAAACACATAAGCAAATCAGTATATGCCAGCCAAAGCTTTATTCCAACTTCTTCCCTTGCTTTAGAACAGCACCAAATGCAACACTTCAAGGCAGAATGTTTTTTTCCTCCATAGGGAAACACAGAAATTCCACTCCCTCAAAAATAATCCTCAACTTTTTTTTTTAAGAGAAAAACACACTTAATGTAACTTTTCCAAAAGCAAACTTCATAAGGCAGTGCTGTACAACACAGTAGCACATACAGAAACTCACAAGAAACCTTTGTTCAAGAACCACCCACCAAGAACTCAATAGAAGTTAGTGCACCCACATTCTCTAAGAAATGTCAGTTGAGACAAATTATTATTTAAGAAAGTACAGCTGTAAGAACAAACTGATAAGAACAGTCTACCAACAACACTATTTCTGGACAGGGAAGTACAGTAGTGATAGGCATTTGCTCAGTTAGGTAGGAAAAACCCAAAACACTCAATACTTTGCTTGTGTTCTGGTTCCCATGAACACATTTTCATGGGAATGTTTGGTGGTAGTTCAGCTTCATGTGGTCAAAATGTCACTTGGTTTCATCAGGATCTTCAGCTAAATCTCCAGTGCAGTCAGTTTGCTTTTCTACAAGGAATAAACACAGATTAGACTCAAGGATGTTTCTATAAATGTGTATAAATACTTTACCATCTAAAGTCATAGCTCTGCAGGGCTTCAGAGTAAATACTGGACCATATTAAAAGACTACACACATCATACAAGGATAAAACAGCTGAAATAACAGACCTGCTCAAAAAGATGAAGCAAGTAGTGCTCCCAGATTTCAGCTATGAGTTCAATCCACTCCATCCCTCACTGGGCAAAGCATATGCCACTTTAGGAGTTTTTGCACCCGTGTGCAGCAAGATCTAGCTCTATGACTTGTGCTTGGATGACCTCAGCTCATGTTCCCTGTGCTGTTGCTGAGAGGGTGCACACACTAGTTCTATGCAAAGTGTTCAAGAACAGACAGTGGGCAAATGTGGACAATAGTAATTAGCAACAGAAGTGGGGGAGAAAAAAACTACAATGAAGTGGTAAAAACTGTAGAAGTATTATCAAAATGGCAAAATCAAGACTAATCCTGCATTTGAGTGAAGCAATTGAGGGAGAATTTGTAGCTTCTCTATTTCAACATTAATAGTTCTTTTAACTACTTTTTTTTGTTGTTGAACGGGCAGCTAGATCTCTGTTCCAGGCTTCATTATTTGTTAGCCATAAACCAGTCAAGCTTTCAGTCCAGTTGCAGTGAGATACGATTATCAATTCAATCCCTGAAAGCACAAATGCTTCATCTATACTTAAACTCAGTTCAATCTCCATCAGGCAACCACAGAAACAAATTGCCCAGAGAGGGTTTAGAGTCTCTATCCTTGGACATATTCCAGACCTGAAAGTAAGGTCCTTAGCAACCTGATCTAGTTAACCCTGCTTTCAGCAGCTCCAAAGGCCCCTTTCAGTCTGAACTGCTCTATAATTCCAGAGATTATAGAAATAGTACATAATCAGAAAGAACCTGTACTATTTCTTTGGTACACTGAATAGGTGTTTGCCAGTAACACTGCAAAATCTGTAACGATAAAGATGTACATGCACCATTCACTAATTATCCTTACATGAAAGATGGTATTATTATGGGTTTAGAGTTATAGACCAAGATCTGTTAAGGGACTGATTGGGGAATTCCAATCCCAAACTAAATGCTTGGCAGAGTCTGCCTAGCAGTCACTCCCCTTGCCTCAGAAACATGAGCAAGAACAGCATTCTGATGGTGGATGTTCAAAACCCTACCAAAATCTATAGCTTGGGTGAACCACCCCAGCTTTTCCAGGAGGCTCAGTCCATTAAGTGAATAAATACTGAATTGGTCTCCAATCCAGACAGTAGCAGCTTTCATTGCATGCAGTCACCCCTAAACTGACAGCACATAAGCCAATGCTACTAAGATAATCACAACAACAGTATCAACTACATAAGCTCCAAGTACTGTTTCAACAGTATTTTCCAAAAGACAGCACTTCGTATAAAATTAGGAAGCAACCAAAACCAAATACACAACCCATCTGAGAGGCTTAAGGTAGACTTACCTTGAAGTAAGGACTCCTCTGGTAAGGACTGCAAGTTCTCTGTTGCAGGGGTTAATGCCTATACAAAAAGGGGTTTGTTAGGAAGCTGGCACTATCTCCAAGGCTCCATTGAGGTACTAGGCTACTTCCATACTTTAATCCTAGACTAATGTTTACATCAGCACCACTGGACTCCTATTTACCCCTGTCTTCCTCCTTATAACTCACTACATTAGTCTTTGGCCCACTTCTCACTTTGATGCAAAAATTGCATGTGTAGAATGAACTGGAAATTCATCACCAGCACCATGGCTGATGGCCTGAGTTTCAGCTTTCTGACATGAGTTTTTCATCCACTGATAGCTACTTTGTGAAGAACACTGTTGAAAACCTTATTATTTCCTAATTACTTCATAACAGTACTATTTTTCATGATTTCCCAGTTTGTTAGCACCCTCTATAAGAAACAGTAGTGTCCTGCCCAGTCCACTACTACACTGCCATACCTTAGATGATCTGGAAGCAGAGTCAGGAATACCATTCCAGACGTTCTCAGGATCCACAATCTCTTCATTACCACTGCAGAGATTCAAGACCTGTACAGGCAGAACCAAAGTCTATCTAGCAGAGAAGCAATACACTCAGCAAATGAGACATCGCAGTAGGAAAAAACAGTTGAGGACTCCCTGCCTTTCAGGAGGTTTTAAGAAGTCTGTATCTTGCAAGGAAGTGCAAGTTCTAGTCACTGATAAAACTGAATAGAACTACTGAGTCTGCTCGAGGCTCTCCTGGGCTTCTAACCCAATTATAGTGAGAAAGAACACCTGGAATTCACCTACTAGATCAGAATCAGCAGGAAACTATAGGGACACTTACATAATAATCCCTGATGCTCATCTGAACACAGCTGAGGTTAGCCTAATGTTAACCAAGGAATCTACTAGCAGAAGAGCTAGCTGCCACAATCTCAGGCAATCTTCCTTCTTCTATGTAATGATCTTTAAGTTGTAATTGAAGGTTGGAAATCCAAAAGTTAACTCCCATCAACCACTAATGCAATACACATTCCACTGTACATAATAATCCCTGATGCTCATCTGAACACAGCTGAGGTTAGCCTAATGTTAACCAAGGAATCTACTAGCAGAAGAGCTAGCTGCCACAATCTCAGGCAATCTTCCTTCTTCTATGTAATGATCTTTAAGTTGTAATTGAAGGTTGGAAATCCAAAAGTTAACTCCCATCAACCACTAATGCAATACACATTCCACTGGGGCAGGAATAGCTGTAGATTTATTATTACTTACAGCATAGTTTAAGTTTCTGCCCAAGTTTCTACTATTCTAGCACTAATTCCTCAAAACTCCAGTGAAATAATACCATGTTTCACGAGTCTTTAATGGTAACACAGCTCCATAGGACAACAGTAACTTGCAGGCCAGACAGAACCACACACATATGAGTGTGTATCTGAAACTGGAGCCAGACCCTTCAATATTCCCAGTCAATACAAGGGTGTAAGATGTGAAGGGAGTACTGACATATGTAGCATCCAACTCAATTTGAGACACTTCTGTTGCTGTTTCTGTGTAACCTGTAAATCCAGAATCAGCCTCGGTTCTATTACAGACTTCATTAAAATTTTCCAAGGTTAGAGGAAGACCAAAGAAGGACCAGATCTTAAGAATGCAGAGAGTATCCAAACCATACTTACCCTGGTACCTATTCCAGAGACCTCCAAAATACGAGCCTCACACCATTTGAGAGATGTCCACACCACGCATTTGGAACCAACAGCAAAGCCCTTCAAATTATTTGTATAGTCTTGGGGTGCTACAAGAAATTACGACATACCAATGTCATCACTGAAGGATGAAAATAACCCACATAAAAGCCCATATAAACAACTCCTTGAAAAACTACAAACGTTCAGAACCTTGCTCCTCTCCAAACTACTTCTACTTGATATTTGAAAGTTTAAAACTTTGATTATTTAACTCCTTAAAAATCAGATAATTTACCTGCACTGCAGTCAGCCAAGGTCTTGTTTTGCTTCTCTTCATCTCCAGGCTTACAGTCTGATGACCACACATGCGTATTTCCACACTCTTTAAATGACTCAGTCAAGTTTTGTTTCATCCATTCTTCCACACGTTTTTCTTCATCATCTTTCTTCTGCCACCCCTGATGTTTCTCAACTTCGCAGTCACATGACTGTACAGTGAAAACAGGCCTTGGATTTGTTGAGTCCTTTGTAAGAAATGAAAACTGACGTCCACTATTTGCAGAACTATGCAGTGCAGCATGTTTCAACGATAACAAGTTATCCTCCTCCCTGTCTTCCTGAGATGGCTGCACATCAGGCGGCAGCAGTTCCATAAAGTGCTCAACCTTGGCACCTAGCATTGACCACCTGCCATTGGTCTTCAGCTGCAGTTCTTTCTCAGGTCCACCACCAGATGATGAGAACCTTAGAGAAGGAGGGTCTGCTTCCACCCAGTCATCCTTTATAGCCTCTGATTTATGAATTCCAGACAAGTTCACTTCCAGATTTTCTGCTTTCTTTCCCAAAGAAAGCTTAACATCAGATGGAATCAGCTCTACTGACTTCTCTCCATCACTAACTGAAGGCACCAAGTTTTCTTTCTTACTAAGTGACGGTAAAATTTCAAGAAAATTCCGAGCTGTCAAATGCCCTATCTCCTCACTCACAACTGGCAGCTCCAGCAATTCCTGTTCCAACATCTCTCTTGCTTCACTGTCTGACCCTGTCTGCATTTCAACTGACTTTGTTTGCAATGCTTCCTTTGCTATTTCACCAAAGGACTTCCCTGAATGTACCTTTAGCTCCAGCAGGAGCTCTTCTGTATCACATGAATAGTGTGTTTCTAATAGATCCAGTTCTACTGACATCCCTGTTCCATCACTTGAAAAGGGTTGTGCCTCGAGCACCGCCATTTGCAGTTCTTGTTTGTTTCCCAGGAAAAGACTGGTGGCTGAAGCACTGCCTGTCAGTTCTGCTTTCAGGTCAGCATCCTCTCCAAACAGTACTTCAGACAATTCTTGTTCTGCAACTTTCATTTCGCTCCCCAGAGTAGGGGGAGAAGGGCTGCATCCTCTCCTTGGTTCTAGTAACACACTGTCCTCACTCTCCACTTTGGACAGAGGCATCTCTCTATCAAAGCTGTTCTGATGCTCTGTTTCATATCCCTCATCAGTCTTCCCACTGGTAGCTCCCACTGACGTATCTGCTTCTGCAGTATCTAAGAGCTCAGAAGGTACACTCAGGAAAGGTTCTGAACAGTGTACAGCATCTCCACTTTCTTCCTGAGCTAATCCACAAACAGCAGTAGTTTCTTTTTGCAGACAAATCCCCGTATCAGTGTTCAAACATCTGTTTTCCTTTAAGGAGCTCTCAAGGTTTGAGGACGTGCTGTCACCAGTTCCTTTACTAGCCTTCCAGAAGGGCTTCATCTCTTCATTAATACTAATGCCAGAAGCCTCCAGCTTGACAACACACAGAGGAACTTCAGAATCTTTATCTTCCTGAGTTTCTATTACTTCAGCTTCTAACAAGTCATCTTCAGTCATACCATAAAACTTCTCACTTGCTTCACTAAGCCATGAGCCCTCTGAGGGACTGAAACCTGACAGACAGCAAGCAAATGCTTGCCCAGGTACTCTAAGCAATTCACATGGAAGCTGTCGGACCATCTCCATGCTAACAGCTTCCTCACTTCCATAATCCACATGTCTAACAACTACACTGTCATCTTTTACACTGCTGATTTGAGCTCTGTAGAACCTTCCATCTTCACTGTATTTTGCTAGACACATATCACCACTTTTAATACAAGATCTGTCATTGTTCAAAGAGCTCAGTCCATGGTTTTCAGCTTGCTTTATTTTTTCCTCAATGTAGCTCAGGTCTTGGCTATCAGCACTGTTACACCAGAAGTATTCTGGACCGTTTACCACTGTGACATAAACTTTTAAAGTCTGACCTGCCTCGGGAAACTTCCAGATAAATGATTTGCAGTCACTTACACAGGAAATTTCACTTAGTGCCTGAGGAGGCAAAGGCTCACACACAGTTGTATCACTGTTCTCTCTTTTATCAATTATTTCTGCAGAACAGGATCTTTCTGTACTTGCAAGATCTTCACCAGCTAAATCCATTGTTATTATACCTCGACAGTCACTGAGAATAACTTCCCACTTATCCTCAAGCTTCTCTACAAATTCACACAACAGCAGGGTTTCACTTGTTCTCTCCGCGAAGTCAAGCACTGCTTTCTCCACCCACTTTATATTTTTTTTGCATTGAAGTCCACCTAGGAAGCAGCAAATGCCTACTGCTGGGATAGATGACAAGTTCTCAGGGAGTCTACATGCTTGATCTACACTAATTACTGAAGTATCACCATAATCAATATAACGTACACTTATCAAATTGTCAGAAGTCTTCTCTTCTACTACAGCTCGATACCACAGGTTGTCTTGTGAATAAACAGCACTGATTAAATCTCCTGCTTGGACAAGTTGTCCACAAGGGTCCTTTGCTGGTGTCCCTTTATTTAAACTTTCTAAAATGCTGTGAAGCCGTACCTTGTCACTTTCTAGCTGAACATAAAAATCCAGCGGATTATTGACATGAGACACATACGCTAAGGCTTTAAAAGCTGGAACTATCTTCTGTTGTGGTAGATCAGATAAATTTTTCAGTGTTATAGACCTGTCTTTGGCATCGAATTTAATATCTGGCTGTGCATTCATCTGGACAGATAGCAGAGACTCCTCCCCTGCTTTATCTAACAAAATAGCACCCTTCTTACTGCTAAGCATTTCATTAGGTTGTAATAATCCAGCTGCCAGATCTCCCTTTGTAGAGGGATGGAAAAAGTTTGCATCTTCTTCTTTGAAGTGCCTTTCGCTCTCCTGTCCTCCCTGAGCTTCAGATGTGTGTTTTTTGCTTTCAAGAGGCCTGCCTGCATTTAAAGGGGACTCTGGACTCTCATTCACATGGGTCTTTCTAGAGCACAAAGTGTCATTTTCTATATGACTAGAGAGTCCTGCATTTTTTAGGCTTAGCTCCTTCAGTTTTGCATTAATTTGAGTATTACCATCAAACAACTCAACAATCAGTTTATTACCAGAGTCCCTTGCTACTACTATTGCTTTTAATTTCCTTTCTAGGACAGCTTCCTTAAACCATGTTGTAGCTTCTTTGGAAACAGAAGACACATCAGATACAGAACACTTTATGGCCTGCATTGGCACAAGCAAGACATCAGAAGCATCACTGGGTAAAGGAAGCAGATCATCTTCCCCTATTATCGCTGTGTTCCCAAAATCCACAAAGAAGACTTCCACCTCAGGATCTCTTTTCGTAATTATTCCCCTATACCAACTACCGTCAGTGTGCCTTGCTAAACACAGGCTCTCAGACTTTGCCAAGGATCCTGTGCTGATCATTGTTTCACTCAGGCAACTGATGCTATCAGCAAGCTGTGCTAAGGTGTCTGCACACCTTTCCAGTTGGCAGTAAAACGTCCATGGATCCTCAATATGCGTAATACAAACATCTTCCTCACTCCCAGTTTTGAGACCATGATTAGAATAATAGTAAGAATGAAGGCGAACCAAGGGTACCAGATGCTTTTGAGGAAATGAAGGTCTGGCTAAACCTTTCTCAGTCAGAAACTGGCAAGCACTCCGAAAAGGTGTGAATATATCCACAATGTTAAACAGCTCACTATTTACTGAAGCCAAGGCAAACACTGTACAATTCAGTTCAGGTGCAGATGATGACTTATCAACAAACTGCTGAAAAGCCTGAATTGCTTCTTCATCCCAAGCAAAGGGATTCTGACCATTGGGCTGGATTAAGTTGTAGAGGCTGCACCTGAAAGCCTGAGCCTCTAACCGAAGAAAGCGTTCATTAATTGCACAGAGGTTTCTCAGACACACCTGCTCTCTGTTGCCATAGTCAACATACACAACTTCTACTTTTCCCGCAGAAAGTCCTACACGAACAATTAAAGCCCTGTACCATTTTTGATCCTCTGAGTACTGGGCTAAACACACACGATCTGGCCAAGCATATGGCTGGGATGAATTATTACAATACTCCTGAATTTCATCCATTAGTAACTCAAGGTCATTGCAATTTCTAGATAACTGACACCAAAAAAAACTAGGATTTTCAACATATGACAGAACAACATTAACTGTACTTCCCACTTCTAAGTAGCCTCCACAATAGGACCCTGGCTTAATTTCTATGTAACTCTGTCTCAAACCAATGTGCAGGTTTTCCTTGCCCTCACAGTCCTGAGCAGGAAGAGATTCACTACTTTTAGAACTGTGAATGGCTGCAACAGGGCTCCCTCTGACCATCACAGCCATGTAAGGGTCACATGCTTTATCACTGCTCTCTAGATCAGATTTTTCTCTGAGCCTTTCCTCTACATTTATTTGGTTTTCCTCTGCAGCATGTGCTAAGGAAGAAGCCTGTGTCATAGTCTTATCGCCTGACTTCTGTGGAGTCTTTGGTATTTCACATCTCTGGTATTCAGCATAACCTCCCTGTGCCATGAGTTTACTTACTCTTTTCTCTCCTAATTGGGAATGGACAAAAATTTCAACCACATGCTTGCCACCCTGCATGCTCAAAAAACAAACCTTCAGTGTTTTATTCAGTACAATATTCCTGAATGCTAACACAGAGGCTTCACTCCAACTCCCTCTCACAGGGGAAACACCTGCCAAACAACACTTCAGAGCTAAAGCAGGGAGTTCCCTGAAGCAAGGGAGCAGCTCCTGCACTGCACAGCAATCCACAGTTTCTGTACTGCCTCTGTCCACCAGGTGTATTTCCACCCCACTGGCCAGTACCCTGGTGACCACTGCTCGATAAAAGACACCCTCATTCCCACTGACACAACAGAAGGATCCAGGCTGTGGGTCCCACCCAGCACCACACAGCTTTGTGGCATGGGAGTAAAAATTACACATGCGCTGCCTCAGCTGCCTGAAGAGCTGCTGATGCTCAAGGAGCTGCAACCAGAACTCTGATGGGTCTTGGAAGTGGGAGACCTGTGTGTTGTAGAACCTGCCCGGCTTCAGATGCACACCAGCTAGAGCAGCAGAGGCCAAATCTCCGTGTGTTGAAACAACAGGAAGTAGACCTGGTGGCAATTCCAATTCTTCAGCTAAGGATTCTTCTACCTCCCCCTGCTCACAAGCCTCAGTTTGGCTCCCCTGCTCATGACAGGTGGCCAGGCAGCAAGCCTGAGACCCAAAAAGATGATTCAAATTGACGCCCTTTTCCCCATACAGGGTCACATAATAGAGATGCTCAAAGGAGCTAAAGGTTTTGATGTGAGCACTCACTGCTTTGCCTAGCACCAATGCTTTTAGTGCATCAATCTGCGATAGGGACCAGCCACAGCCTCCATCTGAAACACCCTGAAGAGCACACACATAAGTCACCACAGGCATGCGAAAACACTCAGCAGGCAAATGGCGCAGGTTGGCTCTGGTCACAGTCTCCTTTCTGCCATAGTCCACAAGGATCACGAGAGCTGTCTGCTGGTCCTGCTCCCCAGCAATAAGCTTCAGCAAAAGGGCACGGTACCACCGGCCATCTGTGGCACGAGCAGCACAGGGTGAGCCCACTTCGGGCAAGAAATCCTGTTCCCACTGGCTGTAGGTCTGGCACAAGGTGTCAGAAAGGTAACGGATCTCCCGGGACAGGCTCTGCAACTGGCAGCAGATGTGGTGTGGGTTGGAGACATGGGTCACAAGGACAGGCTCTGTCAGACCCAACTCAAGCTGCGGGTAGAAGTAATCTAAGGCAGGTGCCAGAGGCTGATCTGAGAGCAACACCTGAAGAATCTGTGGCACTGCAACAGTTCCACAAGAACACACTGAAGGCTGTGGCCAGAGCTGCTGCTTTAATGCGCCAAAAGGCAGGCAGCTCTTGAGTACCTGGGAGAACCGACGGGAAGGGACCTGCCTGGCTAGGCCCAGCTGACACATCTGGGCCACGAGCTGCGGCAACTCGAGCACGATGAGCTGCGGCGTCAATATCGCCTGCACCAGGCCAGACACCTCCCTGCCGTGCAGGAAGCTGAGGAACTCCATAGCCTCTGCCGTCCAGCTGGAGCACGGCAAATCCCCACTGAAGGCCGCGCCCCTGGGGCCCCGGGAGGGCACGACACCGGCTACGATACAGCCCAGCACCTCCGGGGGCGGCTGGAAGAGCTCCGCGCTGCCTCGCGCCAGGTAATAGGCAGATGTGACCACCACGTGAAACACGCGGTACTCCCGGGCGCGGCGACTCACCACGAGGCAGCGGTACCACAGCCCCAGCACCTCCACCAGGC